AACAAAAGATCCAATATGTGAAAGCTTCTTGCAACCGAAGTTTCAAGAATGAAGTCATCGCCAAATTTAACTCTCCTGACCAATTAATCCACATAGCCAACATGAGTTACTTGTCCATTCTTATGCTGAGGCCAAAAGTATCAAAACTAAGCAGTCTCCACCGAGTCAAAGTTTTCCACAATACATCTTCTGACTTTTCTAGGATCAACCGTGTAAAGGAAAGCAAACGTGCAAATAAAAAGCCCTAAACAATCTTCTTCTTCAGCTATCCATGCTCAGTGCATCTACAATCATTTGATTCATTTCCAATACCTTGGACCATATACGAAAAATCCTATTGCCTATTTGCATTAGATGGCTAGGGCGGATTTGAAAATTTCGCATAACCCGTCCATATTTCGCCTACAATCACATGACTACGCTCTTATGTTTATCAAGTGATCATAAATCCCGCTGTGTTTATGAAAGTTATCAAATGAACTTCACCACCAGACAGTAGAAGTGATCACCGCAATGTGATGAGTCCATGAAACGGAGGTACCGATAATTTATTATATAGAAAGAACATTGTGATGGACTTTGCAAATTGGAGTGGATATGTGATTCTAAACCAAAGAACAGAGGACTTATGTGAAATGTTTCCACAAAATTATAGAAAATATAAAGAAACCAGCATGAGCATCATACGGTAAACATACATCCATAAGGCCAATTAATGATACATCTGAAACAAAGATTCTACAGTCATGTACACATGTTTGTATTCAGATTCACTAGCAAGCTAACCTTAAGATCATAGAACTGTCAACATTGAATGTATCTTCACAAGAGGTCAGAAGAGGAGCCTTGAAAGAAAAAGACAGGCATTCTTCAAACAGTTTCTCGTTACACAGAGAAGCTCATATGACGGACAACAGTTAAGAGGATAAGATAACAGATGAGAGTGGGATTGGTCAACAGCTAAATCCCTTGCATAAAGAAAAAAACTAATGAAGTTTCATAAAGCGCATACCTCAAAGCAACTGTAAAGGAAAATACTTCACTAAAAGGGTCTAAAGGGCCCACCACGACCTCTGCCCCCATAGTATCCATAACCCCTCCCTCTATTATACGAACCTCTATAATATCCTCCATGGGGAGGACCGTAGTTTCCATGAGGTCCTTGACCCATGGGAGGCCTGTGCTCGAATTCACCAAAAGTCTGCCAAAAAAAGGGGTCATTGTTAAAAAGCCCTTTGAATAAAGTAATATGGCTTCATAAGAAGAAAGTGAAGTAAATACAAACCTCTGTGTCAAGCTTCATTCGCTCTGAAAACCTAGACCGTCCACTCCATCCTCCTCGGTTGAGGGAATTACAAGAGAGAGTGTCAAAGAAATCATCCTTATTGTATACAGGCTGCAAGAAATGAAGCACCATCAAACTCACACCATAATATCTTATGTTCAATCTCTAGTTTTAACATTTATTTCAACAAGCTGTCAAAATTTCCTTTATGCAAAATTGTTGTTTAATTGGCATCTTTAGGAAATTTGCCATGAATCATGATGTTTATCAATTTTTGTTTTAACAGGTTAATTATAACCTGGTAACAGCCAAAAGCTGGATACAAGACTTTACCTTCATATGCAAATAATCAAGTCACTAGCAAAAATTAAACCAAGCTACATGACATCATGTGATATCCACTATAAAGGAATATGACGAGCGAAAATAACTACACTATACCTTTGAATGTTTGATTCTGAAAAGAGACCTAAGTTTAATTTTATTAACTCTGCTGGACTGCACAGGGAAAAATTTATGCAAAGATCAAAACTTACTTTGCTTCCTGGCCTGGGGGGATCTTGTACGTAACCACCACCATATATAACATCGTGATGAAGTGCATCATGTTCTGCTCCATCTCCACCTGACCCTATATGTTTTTCTTTTCCAAGCGAACCCCAGACTTCATCTTTGTTGAATTTCTCGTTCATGGCCAAGAAGTCAAATTCTTCAGTAAACTTTGGCACCTCATGCTCGCTCTGATATTTAGTCAGACAGCACTAACTTTAGTGAACACAAGATATTACCATTAAAATTTCAACTATAATGCTGACTTGATTATCTCAACAGTCATCACCCGAGATGGTCCTCTCAGGCATGATCAGCAAATAAAAATGTTATTTTTGATGTCTACGAGTTAAGAGGCCCAAGGAACACATTTTACATATAGAACATATCTCCAGTATACAAACCCGTGTGCTAAATTTTATGATTATAAAGAGGCAGCTATAATTGAATGCTGAAATAGGAACTTTTATGATATATAGATCCATAAGCAACAAGTGCAAAGTGTGTTTCCTTCATGTGTCAACTATGAAGATATCAGACATCAGACATCAGATACATCTATTGTTCAGAGAAGACTGATACTAATTTGTTATATGCTGACGTGTGTTGGTCTTGACGAAGTCTACAAAAAAGTACATGAGCAGGACACAGGGAACTGTGCATACTTTTCAGAAACCACAGAAATAAAATTCGCCTGGAAGACAGAAATATGTAACTTTAGCAACAACCTGTGCAGCCATTAGATTTTATATAATGTACAGTCAGGAGAAACCATACAATTGTAAAGCAAGTTGTTTACTTCAACAAAAAGGGAACATAACCATACCTGCTGGTTAGATGTTGGCAATGGCAATAATGGCTCTTGTGGTATTCCAGAAACAAGAGACGGCGAGTTTGTTGATGATGGCAACAAACCCCCCATATCTTTAAATTCAGGGTACAATCTCTGAAGAGATGCTGCTGTTGCTGGTATAGAGTTTGTCAGTTGGTCAGGTGTTAACAAAGGAGGCTGCATTGCTGTTGGACCTGAAGCAGACCCCAAAACTGAAGATGCAGAAGGCATTGATGAAATAGGAACAACTGAAGTTTGTGAGGGATTAGCTTTGTTGGCAATCATATTCATAGTGTTCATTTCTTGATTAGACAAAGGAAGAGAGGACATTGCTTGTAAATGAGAAGGTAACGATAATGGATTAGAAGGATTAGAAATCGCAAACTGAGATGGAAAAGAGGTAGCACCCTCTTGAAAATTTGAAAAGCTTGGTGGTGCATAACCTTCAGCATACTGTGATGGATTTTGAAAACTAACAGACTGGGGTTGAAAAGGAATATGTCGCTGGTGGGCACGAACTTGGGCATTTGATGTACTAGCATATCCTTGGGAGTGTGTAGATCCCTCTGCATTTGGAATAGATGGTGAAGCTGCCCAAGAACTCATGTGAGCACCAGGCTGATACAAGGAAAATGAATCCGGAAATGGTTGCCTAGATAAATCTTGGTGCACTGATTGAGAACTTGGACCAGCAACAGCACCAACTCCAGCTGAAGCAATAGAGGAACTACTAGGTGCATAAGCATACTGTGACTGCACATATAAAATTGAAACAAAGACAATGTATTGTCAGTAGCAAAGACAGAAGTCTGCCATGGAGGAATTGGATTATGATAAGCTCATATAACTACCTGAATAATAGCTGGATCATTATGTGTCTGCTGCTTTGGAGGAACTGAAGATGATGACTTCACCTGCAAATCCTGAAAATAAAGAAAAAATATATAAAAAGAATGCATCTATAAAAGTTTAAACCCCTAGAAGTGAAAATGTTGCTGAGGTAAAACTGCAATAGATGTTCACATATTAAGAATTTAGTCTCTAGATGCTGAGGCAACAAAGATGATTCAAATGTGTATAAATTGTTAGGAAACACGAAGACGGGTTGGTAGAAGAACAAGTCATCCATCACATGTTATAGAATGATTTATGCTTAAGAATAATAACTGATTTTTCCCTCCATACATCATCTTCATAATTTAGTGTGAAAACCAAGAAGTCTTGAAGGAATATCAAGGTGCTTGTTATCAACTTTGCAGTACTACCCTTGAACAGATAGCAGTCAAAATGATTCACCTATTTGAATCATTCCAAATCACAGTATAAACCTTCTACCTTATCCTAATCCCAATACTAAAAATAAGGGTGTGTTCGGCAACTCAAGAACTAGTTTTAGTGGATACAAGCATGGTCAAAAAACATGTTTTTAGTTTGGTAAAACTTTGGTCAAATTTGAATTAGTTATTTTCTAGTTCAAATTCTAGCACTTAAACTAGTTTTCTTTTGGAACAACCCCTACATGGGCCAACACGCAAAAACTAGTCCTGGTCCAATCTTGTTTTGGAATTGTCAAACACAGCTTAAGAGCAGGACAGGACAGAACAGAAAACCGTTAGCAAGAGATGCTTGTCTCTAGGAGAAGATCACATTATATCTCAATTGCCAATTGGTTTGATTCAGAGATAACATTTTACTTATCATTTTAACTACCCGTGTGATCAACTTGTTGTCATTCTCAATAGAACGCTCCAACAAACCATTCCAAATTATAAACAGGTGCATTGACTAGAACTAGGCTGGTGTTTCCTTTGGCATATTTGAATTAGGTACACTGACTGCCCTACGAATACCCCCTTCCATGTCAATTAGGTAAAAACAAGACAGCAAATGTGCATAATCGGTTAGAAAGAGAAAAAAATAGTGTAATATTTTAGCATTTCTAGACGATCTTAATCCACTTTCGTCCATACAGCTCTGACAAGATTTTCATGGGGATTGCTCCATGAAAAGATCAAGATAGCTGAGTCCTAGGTTACTCAGACACGGCGTTTTGGATGCTGTGTTGATGTTTGACACGTGTCAGACATGGTTTCTCTATGGACAAGCCATGGATACGTGTGGTTCAAAGCAAAACCCTACTTCCCTATTACTTATACATACACCATAAACTAGTTTCTTGGATAATATTGGGCTCAAAACCAATCAATTTTGAACCCGAAAACTGAAACTCATTATTTAAATATTTGAAAAATACCCATCTCCCATGCAATCAAAACTAAACTTTTGTTGTTAAACCTTATTCTTAGTTTGATTTAACTTGATCCTTAACTGTTATACATAATAGAAAGAAACATACAAATGTTACATGTATTTTGATTCAATATGTGATCTAAGGTAAGTTGTATATATAGTTTTATCCCCGTATCCTACAATGTAAAAACTTTCCGTGTCCCGTGTCTGTAACCGCGTCCGTGTCCATGTCCACACCTGTATCCGTGCTACCTAGGCTGAGTCCCTAAGAAGCTCTTCCATTCCATTCCATCCTCTACCTTACCACAAATGGACCACAGTTCTTTTCCAAGGGTCATTTACGTTTAAAACTTCAAATATTCATTCCCAAGCTGTAGAAAGACATGCTAAAAGTCTTATCTTCCTCTGTTCTAGATTCAACATAATAGATCACCAAGCATTAGAATATAATCAGTCTTCGCCCTTCAGTTAAACTTTTGCTAATGCTTGTTTATATTCTTATGACCCGTACGTTATTAGCCGAACATCCTGTATGCATGATGATTTATATTTTCTGAGGAAATGTGTATGGATTATGGAAATCATATTTACATACGCCAGGTATGTTAGTCGCTAATACTTTGTACCAGCACCCTTAGCTCATCTGCTCAGCATGCTGAAGTGCATCTAATGGACAGTCTATTATAGGAAAGGAACAGGCAGTGTAATCAGCCAGAAATGAGTCATATACAAAGACAAATAAACTCAACAAAACAAAAACTTTAAGTATAATTTAAAAGGCAAATAAACTCAACAAAACTTATACTTTTAAGTATAATTTATTAGATTAAACAATCAAATGGTTTTATCCCATCTAAGTTTGACAAGGCATACATAAATCCCTATATAACCAATTCCAATGTATAAATAAATAAATAAATAACAAAGAAAAAATACAAAACAAAAAATTGAGGAACTTTGCTGATTAACATCAATTATTTTCCTTTTCCCGAACAAATTTACTTAATTTTCTAATAAGAACATTCAGTTACTCATCATAAACATTTCAAACCCCTAGATCCACAAGTCATACCAATTTGAGTACGCAAATTAAAATAATTCCCAAATATTCCAAATTTACCTTAATATCGCTACCTCGAAAGAGAATATACTCATAAACTTTGTCACTCGAAGGAATCTGAGGCCCCTCCTTCCTTCTCCCTTCAGTACCAAACGATTTCACTGCAAAAGAAGAAACAAAAGAAAAAAAGAAACATCGAATCAAAGAACTCAGAACCCCGCTCGACTTCGAAATCGAGCAAACCCTAGAAATCGAGAGTAGGTTACCGTTCTGGAGGGCGATGGTGGAGTCTTTGGTGTTGATGCTGACGAGGACGCCCTCGTATCGGATCTCGCTCTTGGAGGTAAGGCTGATGACGCTTCCGATGTAGGAGTCTACTGACGGAGAGGCGGCGGATCTCGATGATGATTCCTCCGGCGACGCCATTGATCGATCTCTGATGACCTGGACCTAGGGTTTGTCTCTCTCAAATTCGAATGCTGCGTCTCTTTCTCTCTCTCTCTCTCTCTCTCTCTCAAATTATTTTTGGGTTATTTGCATATATATCCTTTAAAACATGCGTATTCCCAAAAACTATGCCAAATCATCGATTTGCAACATTACCCAGAATCATCAATTTTGAGAAAGAAATACGTCTAAAAGTAACAAATCATCAGCTTGGTTAGCAAAAAAAATGATTACTTTGTTGATACTTTTTATATTTCAGTTATAAATTATCTTATTATAGTTAATGATTGTTTGGTGGATATTTTTTTCTCAAAATTGATGATTTGAGGGATGGTTTTGAAAATACCGAGATTTGGATATTTTTCTCAAAATTGATGAGTAAGGCGCATATATGCAAATAACCCATTATTTTTAGGGCTGATAACACGTTTACGATGTTGTCCTTCGTCCGATCCCTTCTCAGGATTATGTAGGATTGGAATCTCATATATTTTATTTCTTTGATTTGATGTAGTGCATATTTACAAGATATACTCAAATGAGCAGGACAGGACAGAACTGTATGGGATCGTGATATCGAACAAAGGCTGAGATATGCACATTATATTTCTTTGATTTGTTTAAAAGAGATGCTTGTCCCTAGGAGAAGATCACACCAGGCTATCAAAGTTTAAAAATGATGAAGTTTTGGAGTATTAAAAATGATGAAGTTTAAGTTGCAAATAACATTTTTTCCCCTTTGGCTATTGGAAAGGACTGTACATTTTTAATTTGTCACGATTCATTTTAGTTTTACTTGTTCAGCTTCTGCTATCACTTTTCAGGACAACCAAACAGAATAAGAAAGAAAAAAAAATAGTTGCCACATTATGTTCTATGCATCTTGGCTCCCCTTTTTCATTTTCTATAATATAAATATGAAGATTCTTATCGTCAACTCTCTAACTTATTCCCAAAGCCTTATTATAAATGGAGTTGACAACTAATGAAACCTTAACTTGATGTTTTTTGAGAGTTTATCTAAAAATAATATCAAACGACAAATTGGTTGTCCATGGCACCTTATGCATATTTTTATTTTCCGAGCAGAACCCAATATTTATTTTATTCCCAATGAGACTATCAATTGTTTTCCCCTATATCTAATTGATCATGTTTTTTATAAAGGGTTAATTCCGGAATAAACCTCTTGTACTATTACCCAGAAGTTTATTATTGCCAATAAACCCTTCGAGAAACTTTTTTGACGGCTTTACCCTTAGAAGGTCTAACTGTCAAAAACAGTTCTCTTTCTCTAATACAACAAAAGAGTTAAAAAAATTCATTTGCCTGCAACAAGTACATGGGTCTATCCACAATCAACCCTTTTGTAAAAGGGATATTTGAACAGAACATAGGAAGCTCTGTCTATTTAGCTGAAAAACATGGGAATCTCTCTGCAAAATTTGAAGACCTGTAGCTATATACATATTTGTTGCTACAGAGAAGCTGCGATGTAATGTCAAATTAGAACTCATTTCTCCATGGGAACAAAAACACATGAATTATCTATACAAATTTCATGTGCTGGCCTGAGAATTATATCTAAGTATACATGTTAACAAACTAAGAACTATTAACTTCAACTTTGTTCAGGAACCTTTGAGCCGCGAAAAGAGAAAAGGCGCATAGCATTTTGGTAACTCAACTCTGCGAGCTCCTCTTCAGGCATCTCCAGCATTTTGGCCACATACTTCAACACCTGAAATTTTGTAAACTACAGTCTTTTCAACAGAACAAATTAAGATAATTTTCATTCGACATAGAACATTGGTTTCACATTATTGTAACTGCAGTCTACAACAGAACAAATTAAGATAATTTTCATTTGACAAAGAACATTGGTTTCACATTATTGTAACTGCAGTCTAAACAACAGGCATCTGAAAAAGATCCATGAGCACGCATAATCACAAAATGGTAAAAAAGTAAGAATATATCACTGTACTTTTTTGAACTTGAGCTTTGCATTTCAAGGTTACACAATATACTATCTCCTGTTGTTATTGATTTATGAAATTTCCAGTCCTAAATTATTTATGGTTCCCTGCTACCTGTGTCCAAAGCATACATGATGGACCATGCCCTTGATTGTTTTGGATTGATGTTTACAATTATTCAATATTACACATTACCATGGGTCTTGTTTGAGTAATAGATTGAAATAGAATTATAGAAAGTCAATATACACAAGGGTGATAATTGGATTCTCAAACCCAAGAGTTGATGTATTTTTCCCCCCTTCTAATTTTATTTAAAGTCATATACCACGACGCTTGCAGCATGATCTAGACTTGGGATATTCTTTACAATACACATGCTTTGTTGCTCAATGATTCAAGTGTGAGATTTAACTAGTAACCAGAAACATTACGAAGATCACACTGTGGCTACGTACACCATAAACTGTCTTTCACTAGCACATATAGGACTATCTTCAGGCCGCATGGTGCAAACTTATGGCCCTCAGAATGTCAACCAAACAGATGTAGAGTATCTCAAAAAGATTCTTTCAATTTTATAGATGCACAATGACATTGGGCTCAAAGTCTAGGGTTTCAGACAAGGAAAAGCGTGCCTTGTTCATCCCTTCTTCAGCTTAAACTGATGGCCCTCAGAATGTCAACCAAACAGATGTAGAGTATCTCAAAAAGATTCTTTCAATTTTATAGATGCACAATGACATTGGGCTCAAAGTCTAGGGTTTCAGACAAGGAAAAGCGTGCCTTGTTCATCCCTTCTTCAGCTTAAACTGATGGCCCTCAGAATGTCAACCAAACAGATGTAGAGTATCTCAAAAAGATTCTTTCAATTTTATAGATGCACAATGACATTGGGCTCAAAGTCTAGGGTTTCAGACAAGGAAAAGCGTGCCTTGTTCATCCCTTCTTCAGCTTAAACTGATGGCCCTCAGAATGTCAACCAAACAGATGTAGAGTATCTCAAAAAGATTCTTTCAATTTTATAGATGCACAATGACATTGGGCTCAAAGTCTAGGGTTTCAGACAAGGAAAAGCGTGCCTTGTTCATCCCTTCTTCAGCTTTATCCTGATTTCATTATTATATATCCAATCCCAGATGTGTGCTATAACTGTTGCTACTCCCATTATTTTTATGCCCTTTGTGTGTGTGTATGTGGGTATGTATGTGTGTGTGTGTGGGTGTGTGCGTGTGTGTATGTATGTATACATACATACATATATATGTGTGTATGTATATGTCTATATGTGTATGTATACATACATACATACAAATATAAATAAATATATATATATATATATAAATATATTATATATATATAATATAGTTACTCCCATTATTTTTATGCCCTTTGTGTGTGTATGTGTGTGTGTGTATGTGGGTATGTATGTGTGTGTGTGTATATATGTGTATGTATACATCTACATTTACATATATATGTATATGTGTACATATATCTACATATGTATATTGTGTGTGTGGTGTATATATATATATATATGTGTGTGTGTGTGTGTGTGTGTGTGTGTGGTGTGTGTGTGTGTGTACGTATACAATCACATATATACATATACATACATACATATGTGTGTGTGTGTTGTATGTGTATATGTATATATGTATACATGTATACATACACATATATACATATACATACATACATATATGTGTGTGTGTACACACACACGTGTATATATGTACATGTATATATGTGTATAATACATATACATATGTATGTATGTATGTATGTATATAAGTGTCTATAACATATACATATGTGGTGTGTGCGTGTTGTGTCTATATATAATACGAATATGTATATCATATGTGGTGTGCGCCGCGCATCTATATATATATGTAGATCTTTAACCCGAATGTACTATATTTCCTGAGGATGTAGATCCAAACAGATGTATTTTAAAAGTTGAGACATAGTTTGAATCAAATGGGGTGGTCCTTTTTTTTCACTTGCTGAAATCACTTGTTATCCACTTCAAACAACTCTACTAAGCCTGGATAGCATAGTAACCAGGTTGAGAGAGGAATAAGAGCTCATATTTGGACATTTTATATCAATGAGCGGTCAAAAATGACACATCTGGCCATATATGCCAACGAAAAATTGATTAAGCAATATAATTGTCACTAACCGCAAAGTTTGTAAATGATACAGAAATAGTAAAACAACGGCAGCAATGTCACTAGTAAATTACGGACAAAGAATGCAAAGTTAAAAGAAATATACAACAAACCAAAGCAACGTACCGTACGAATGTTAGCAGGATGGTTCAGTCCTCTTTTGGTGAATGGAGAGCATGTCAGAAGACTGAATCCCTGCCGTTCCTTGAGAAATAGATTCTTCCAATAGGAGAGTTAGCAAAGAAATCTGTTTCCAACTTTGGGCATCCATCTGGGGCATCTGTCTCCAAAAATTCTATCCATAGGTACCTACAAAAAATCAAACAGTATAATAGACGGATCCTAATTTCATAATGGCAGTGAAAGCTGTTTAAGAAAGCAAATATCTTGATATTGAATATGATATACAAACGCGCTTTAAGCTTTCTTTGCTTTTGTTGATTTCATAGATGTGAGATACCCAGAAAAGGAAAAGTAAAGCACCAAGGTTAGAAAGTGAGAACCGCTTTCAAGCAGATCCTAGATATGAATGTAGAATTACACCAGCTGGAAAGGTCCTGTGTCTCTGGTCATAAAAATAACTGAAGGTTTTAGCATGATAGCACCAAAAATTTTCAAAAGTGGCAGTAATAGCTAATTTCAGAAAGAAAGCCATAAGGTCAAAACCCATGAAGAAAAAAACTTCCATGTACCCCTGAGTTCGACTGTTTTCAAGAAAGCACGGCAGTTACAAATGTTAAAACTTTTTTTTAACATAAATGTTAAACTTCAATTAAGAAAAAAATGGTTTGTACCTATCTAAAAACGGTGGCCCAAGATTTGAATATGATGCGCTCCTTTGAAACATAAAAATCCTGGAAAGTGTTTCCTTATGTTGCAAAAGCAACTGCCGCT